TTTCAATTGAAAGCTTGTGGAAGCAGAGTCAAGAATTTTAAAACAATCTTCTGAACAAAGGGAGCGACAATTTTCAGAACTTCTCAGGTGTTTAAAGATGTGGGAATGTTTCTCAAAGGGGAGATGTTTGCGGATGCGAGTGGTGAAGTGTCTATTGGTTTCACCAACATAACAGGCAGCCTGCACATGAAAACTTATAAATGACTCGCAATCGTAAATCCACAGGGATAGGATCCTTGACCCCAAACCAACTCCTGATTTTAAACAGGGTTAACACTAACTTAATGTTTACTCCCTTTGTTCGGAAGACTGTTTTAAAATTCTTGACTCTGCTTCCACAAGCTTCCAATTGAAAATCAAGGAAGCCATGCACATCCTTTGGGAGCTGCCGCCTTTAAATTCCCAGGTCAAACATCTTAATTTATCCCTTTCAACCTAATTAATCTCCCTTTTTAGCTTAAATAGTTTTACCCGTTTTTTGGTTCGCACCTTCATCCTTAATTATTCTTGTTAATATCTCACTTTGTTAAACTATTTATTGCATATTTTCATTTTATTTCTCACTGTACAACTGACGATGGATGATGTCTCATCCAAAACATGTATTGTCTTCATTAAAAAATGAACTTTAAAAACATTGTGTGGTTCATCAAAGAGATATCTTACTTTGTGCTGCTATGAAGCCTTAATAATTATAATAATAACAATAATAATAATACTAATGATGATGATGATAATGATAATGATAATGATAATGATAATGATAATAATAATAGTAAAAATTTATACCGCGCTGTTTTTATGAAAATATTTAACAGCACCTTACAAGAAAGTGGGAACATGAATTGTAAGGTAAACTTGTGTTTCCACAGCTTTTTCCAGTTCTCCCAAACTTTCTGTTTCTATTAAACAATAAGATTATGAGCTCAAGATTTCTATGCGTGATAGTTGACAGGGGCACAGCCGGAGTCAACTATCATGCATAGAAATCAAGAATGAATAATCCAATTGTTTTAGTATAAATCTACTAGTCGTTCAAAACTTTATCTAAATACTGACTTCACAGACACTTCGAAAACATCAAGAAGGGGCCACCATTTTGTTAGCAAGGGCTGACTGCTATGCTACTCACTATCTATCACAGAATAGATAGTGACTAGCGTAGCCAATCAGAGAATGGCATTCGTGAAAAAACGCTAGTAGAATTATATTAACACCCAATAGAAGCACGAGGGAAACAGCCCAATGAAAATAACAATGTGACTATGACAACTTTTCTATGTTTCTATCGAATTAAAAAAGTGCAATTTTTCACCAATCGGCATGCATAGATTTCTTTGGACCATCTTTTTTATGTCATCATTTGCACGCTGAAAGGTACTAGCTCCTGTAAATTATTTTGATAAGCCCTTGGTGTATTTTTATCAGTCACTCCCTTACACGAAGAACATTGCTATATAGCCAATATCAAAAGGTTAAAAAATGTGGAATCATTACGAAACTAACCCGTCTAAAATCGGTTCTTCATATGTGATCTGTGTTAGCCGCCTAAATGTCACACAACTTCAAGTACTGCCTGGTTTAGCCTCCGTACAGTCGTCTACGTCGTGGAATTAAGCTTGCTACATCTGATCTTAGAGGAAAATAAAAGCAAATAATTACTGATACGTTTTAGCTAAAATTTTGGGCTTGGTTCTCGTGTTGCCTTTCCCATGTACTTGTAAGGTTAAAATAAGTCACTACCGCTGTACATGATCATTCGTGACTCACTGATGTTGTTCGCAACGGTATCACAATATTTCGTGAAATTAAATTTTTAGTGTTTAATATCTTTTGTTATAAACAGTTTCGAGTATGAAGACTACCAAAAGATCAAAGAATAGGATTTGGTCTGATTGAGCATATCTCAGGTGGGAAAATCTGGTCTTAAAATTTAAAATGTTTCTTGCAGATTTACGGCTGCTTACCAACCCTCGGTGTGTTGGCTTTTGAGGATCGAGTACACCCCAGCCAGCACAGCAAGAATATATCATCTAACTTGCTGTCTACAAACAGGAGGCAGTTTGTGAAACACAAGCATGTGAATCCTGGAACTTCTCAAAGCCTATTATCTAGATATAACACGTACCGCATGGATTGATGGGAAATACAAGAGGCACGTGGTTACGCATTCGAATCCAGGGCCAAACCCAATTTCAATGCATTCACTTTGACTGGTGTTTAAAGGGTCCAGGTCAAAGAATGATTCTGGTTATTATAAATAACACTCTAAAACAAATTTATGTGAATTTGAAAGAGGTCACGCCGCTGCAAGTTTACCCCATTAAAATACATGTAAATCTTCTCCAATTTTGCCCATCTATGCCCTATTTTGCCTTTCCTGTGTTTTTTTTAGTTTTTCTAAAGGTTTAAGCCGTAGTTGTGATATTTCAGTTAATTCTTTGACCAGTCAGGTCCAGTCCAGGCCAAAGGATGCTACGGTCATAATCGGGAATTAATGAGGCGTTGAATCTCAAGTTCAACGATTTCAAATTTAAATGGAAGCGCTATTTTGATTACCATTTATCTCAGGTAGCGAGGAGTGAGGTAAGTGTAAAATTACTTTTTCTCTGTAACTTGGCAACAAAAGATGTCCGAAATCTTGGCAGATATACAAGATGCTTTTATCCAAGAACTTACTGAGCTGTGGGTTGACTTAAACTATAGGAGTTCCTTTGCATCTCAAGCTGATTTCAGAGCTGGTCACACCCGGAATAACCCGAAGATCATAATCGCGGGCAAGAACTTTTATAAACATTAGGCTAACGGAGGAGTGATGTCAATTAATAATCTGATGACAGATGACTCAAGAATTCTAACCTGCAGTTGATTCTAAAATAAGCTTTGCTTTTGAGTTTCCTTCTTAACTTCAGCTTTAGGAGCGCTATGAGATCTTTGAGATTGTCATTGCCAGGTGAAAAAATTCCAGGAAAATGAATTGGTAAGTGGAATCAATTCTTGTTGCATAAAAAAAGTGCCGTTGGAAATGTGAGCGGAGTTTGGTATTGTAAGAAATGCGTGGTATTGTCATCAAGTAAGTAATTTTAGTTACGTAAGTAGTGTTAGTATTTTAAGTAATGTTGCTGTTGTAAGTAATGTCAGTGTTGTAAGTAGGTGTAGTATTGCAAATAAAGCGAAGTGGTATTCCAAAAAAAAAAAAAATCCATGACCATTTGGTAAGAGTTGAAACTGCCTAAACTGAATTGGATGGGCAAGCCCTATTTAAATTTTCAAAACATAGGCCTTGAAAAACAACTGCATATAGGAGAATAAAAAGTAAAACTTTGATAACCAGTGGAAAACTGATTCAAGTTATATTAAGGCAATTGTCTACGTTAGTTAATTTAACGTGGCAGTGACCAACTCGAAAGGCTTAGCTACTTTGGTCACTGCGCACATTTACTTTCTATTTATTGCAAACTTTTTTGTTCTGTGTTCTTGTTGGTAATATGTAATTTTTATTTATTGATTGATTGTAAGAAATAGTGCAAAACAATAAAAAATCTGAATCTGAAGCTGTACGAACGTTAAATTCGCTTCTCTCTATATCTTGCTACTCTATTGTCTTTATATATTAATATCTCAGATTGGAGAGTAGATGACAGAAATGTTCCAAAAGAAAGCAAAGTCTGATGTCGGAGTCTTTGTACCAGTTCTTCACGTATGCGAGGAAAAGAGAAACAAAAATTTCAATCTGTCTACACCACTTGTTGCTCATGACATAAGACTAGGTTTTTAATGTTAATGTTATAGTCAAATGAAAGGACGTAAACCAACGGACACAGCCCACGTTTGGAATTAAAAAAAGATAGTGTCTCCCTTGAGTTTTAGTGGTCATCCTAGTCATTCTCATGTAGCCATACTAGAAAGCTTCATAGAAAGAAATTAACGCACACGCCTTGACTCAGTACAAGTTGTCCTGTTTACAAATTCTAAAACAGAGAATCCTTTACTGTTTACAAAACTTTCCTCAGTTGTGTAGTAAATATGGTGTACATTTTGACACCGTTGGAATATTTTCAAACGTAGTTTTTTAAAACGTAGTCAGTACTGCATTAAGAAGTGTTGCTCCTCAAAGGAGAGGCACTGCACCGTCTTCACAGTTTTCGTTTTTTTCCAGAAATTCGTCCCTAGTTATCATTACCAATAGATAGGATAAATGGTCACGATCTTCGTGGGTTGGTGGAGACCGCAAGCTGGGCATTGTACTCGTTGGCAAATTATTTTCACATTCGTTGTGTAGTTACGGCCGTGGTGTAGAGGGTAAAATCCAAAGTAAAAAGGGAAACTTAGGTAGTAGACAAATCGATCCGGTGTGCTCCATCCACCTTGTCTGAAGGAAAACCTTGATCTCATTTGTACTTCATGGAATAATTGCTGCGGAGACATTGCGTCACGGAGAAAGAAAGAGTGCCAGTAGCTAGTAGCATCTCGCCAATCTCTAAAACGAAAATGCCTCTCTGTAATGTGTTCTTCGGCATCCTCGGATAAAATAAGGAAACGGCACCATGGGCAGCCCATTGCTTCCATATTCAGGGGTGACTTTCCCTAATTTCGTCACTTCGGAAACTTTATTTCAGAGCCAACATAACCCCCTAAAGCTATGCGACCGCGCTTGACGTAGCAATTTCGAGATGGTGCGATCTTTAAAATGATCTATGCAAAAGTCGCGCGCGAGATCACCCAATAAAATGTCACAAACATGGCGTCAAAATTTTTTGAATAAAAATTTCGACACAATTGTGCGAGTCTCTTCCAGTTCCAAAACATTCATTGCTGTAAAGGAACCTGAAAGGTATGGTTAGCCATTCGTTTCAAAATTACGACAGGGTGTACGCGGGTTTTTTCTGCCGCGTATACTTGTTTACATACGTTACGTATGGGCTTTGAGCCCATATACACGACCATTTAGATCGCGTTCATACGCTTTTTTAAATGGCCACATATTTGCGTACACTCAAGTGTGGGGATATCCGAAATAAATGCCCAAATATACGCGTGCTATAAGGACCCATATATACGCATGCTAAAATGCGCGTACATGCGGCTCTCGTAAATTAGGTTGTACATGCCAGAACGAAATGTGTCTTTTGAGAGAATGATTGTTCGTGTATGATAGCAATGAAAATTACTATATCCAATCATTGGTTACAACGTCATTGAAGAAGTGATTAAAAGTCCAGACCAAATAGGAGGAGAGAACGCAGATTCACCGAGAGAGATTATGAATTCAGGTTTGAGTGAGGAGAAGCCAGAGAGTATAAATACGTTGGTTGTGCATAGTTCCAGCTGATCTGGAACTTTCTGAACAGCTACGTTATCGTTCTACGCCATCAGTTTCTTGTCATTTGGTTCCACAACAAGATATCAGTGTAATACGTTCTGATTTTCTCTTTACCTTATACGGTCAAATAATGTAAAATTTGAACATGGACGAATAGCAGACTTCGTGAAAAACAAAATCTACATGTAAGTACAAAGATTGTTTGCACGAGTACAAGATATTTCTATTCAGCCTTTTCGACATTAAAGAGTTTCAAGAATATGCAATCTATCCTATTCCAACTGTTGGTGCCGATTTAATGGAATGGTCATGTAACCAACCCAAATAGATTTTCTTTTCTACGAGGGAAGAAACTTCTTCAAATTAAATCAATA